AGAACCTCGACAACTTCTGTTATTTTTTTTGGTACTTTTGACCTATGTGGCCTTTTTGATAATGTCAATGGAGGTTTCAATACATTATTTGTGGACTCATTTTCCTAAATCAAAATTAATTTTCAATATACATTTTATAATATGAATATTATATAACATTGTATAATAAATTTTAATAATGCTAACTTGTTCATTAGTTTGTCCATTGACTTGTGCTTGCCCATCATGCACTTGCCCACCTTGTGCTTGCCTGCCATTCACTTGCCCACCTTGTTCTTGCCCGCCATTCACTTGCCCACCTTGTGCTTGCCCACTTTGTGCTTGCCCATCATGTGCTTGCCCACCTTGTGCTTGCCTACCATGTGCTTGCCCACCTTGTGCTTGCCCACCATGCACTTGCCCACCTTGTGCTTGTCCGCCTTGTGCTTGCCCACCATGCACTTGCCTGTCTTGTGCTTGCGAATCTTGTGCTTACTCGCTTTGTGCTTGCTCGCTTTGTGCTTGCCCACTTTGTGCTTGCCTGCTTTGTGCTTGCCTGCTTTGTGCTTGCTCACACACTTGCGCTTGTAGTTTATTAACTTGTGCTTGTTCATTAATTTGCTCTTGTTCATTATCATCTTGTGCTTGTAGTTCATTGAATTGCACCTGTTCATTAGCTTGTGCTTGTAGTTCATCAGCTTGTGCTTGTAGTTCATTAGCTTGTACTTGAAAAGATAATATGTTTAATATTTTTTCAAAACAATATGGAGTTGATATTTCAATATATCGATTTGGTGTTTTATAGTCTTTATATTTGCAAGGACAACAATTATATTTCATAATACACTTCTAGTAAAAGAAGTGCCTGCAGTCAAGTAAAATTACTGATTGCAAAAGATTAAAAGAAATTTCACAGCTACATATTTTGCAAATATTAGGATCTCTACATTCCACAGGAATTAAAGCATCATTGTCAAAGTACAATTTACAAGCAAATTTTTTCAGTTCGTCCATAATTAGTAGAAAAAATAGTTTTACTATGCACTCATTCAATTGCTTTATAAATACATTAAACAAAAATAGATTTAAGAATTAGTAATCAAATAATATAGACTGTAAGTATAAATCTTATTATGAGTTTAATTTTAACTA